AAGGGGATCCGGGAGCTGGGATAACATTTTGTTGGCCAACAGTATGGCCATAAAAAAAGCAGTGGGAATAAAATTGGAGTTGAGGTACAGACTATGGAATACCCAGTTGTAAGTTTATAACAAATCATTGCATACTTAACGGCTTAAGGTCTTGGAATCAAGTAAAGAATATAGGAATATGTCTATTTTTCTTCAGTATAAAATATCTCAGATAAATATAAATCATAATGAAAATTACTTTATTACCTTTTATACATCCTAATGACTCCCATATACCCTTTCTACTCTGTACATACAAAATCACAGTCGCAAATAGCTCAATGGTCTTGGTTTTGGCCAAATTTTTACGACTCCACCCAGAATGACAACCTGTAAATTTTGCGCTTTATTTAACAGGCCAAATGACAAATCTGTGCATCTCAACTGAGGGCCATTTAACGATCGTAAAATCACCCATCAAACGCTGTAAATTATAATGTAATAGAAAAATAATAAGCAGAGTCGAGATGCATCGACGATGTTATCATCGTAAATCCGAGAGAAGTCGTAAAACGTGAAGCACAGGAAGGTCCTGGCGTTAGTTTTCACACCCAAATTGGAGGGGGCAAAGGGAAAAGCGGATGCAAAGCTCTGGGCATCATTACACTTGAGTGTTTTACAACTTCCGTTGAGTTGAGTTCTCCAGGGCCATAAAGCGTAATCTTCATGTTTTTATTAGGAGGGGCTGCTGGTTGCCTGGGCGGGTTGTCAATGGCATTGAGGACATCAAATTGACAGCTCCTTGGAGTCGTAAAACTCAGCCACTGTCTGGTCGGTCGGTCGGTCGGTCGGTCGTTCGCCCTGTACATATGTTTGGGGGTAATGATTGTCACCGGCTAAACAATTAAATCGAGGTTAGGAATGGCGCATAAAAAGCGCATAAAAAGGACATAAACTCAGACCCCGAGCCCGGCACAATATAAACAATGATAATGATGATGATGACGATGTCGTCAACGCATCGTAAACATTTTAAGCTACAGTTTATTTTCATTTGGAAGGACGAAACCGAAAACATGACCCCTACGATGCGATCTGTGGCCTCGTAAAACTCTGCTGATAAGACACTCGCCGCTGGCAATGATAATAAAATTATAAGTCACCCCACTCACACATATGTGGGGGGATCCTGGGTTTCTCTTGGGGAATTCCCCACTCTCCGCTATCTCTTTCTAGCTCTCTAAAGTGCGCTAATCAGCATTTAAAATTAACTAAATGTCCGCCTCTTAAGCCAAACTTGATGAGTTTGGCCCTTGGCCCCGCCTTTGCGTCCTTTCCCTTGGGGCTGTAAAACCAGGTTATATAACATGCCTCTATATAGTCGAGATGTTGGGCCGTTAAGTGAACGGAAGATGCGTTTTTCATGTAGCTGCAAATGGCAGGGACCGGGTCTGGAGCCGGGGCATGTGTTAACTTGAGATGGGGGCCATAACACTTGAGTGTGTGCCAAGTGACATTTGATTGCTCTAGTTCTAGTACTCCTCCGGCTGAGTTAGCTAACTTGTGTGGTTGGACAAGTGCTAAGCTGCTGGCTTTTAATGTTCCTTAATTGACAGATATAGTTTGGTCTTGGATAATTGCCATTTGAAATCAATAAGAGGGATTTTAACGGTCTTCTATGGTTATTTCTAGGGGATTTATATAGGAAAGTTAAGTATAATTAGTTAGAGAATTTATTGTTTGTTTCCCAGAAAGTTGTTGTATGGAACATAGCTGTTTACCTATTTAAAAAGTTATTATCCTTGTAATCTAAGCAAACTTTAATTTGATACTATTTTCACTTTAAGTTACTTTATCTTTTGCCTCAATTTACCTTATTCTGGTTACGCTTTAAATCCCATTATCATATGGCACCCTCCGGTTTTAATTGATGCCCAAGTTGGAGAGTGCGTGCCAGGCACACACACACACATGCATAGAGGACACCCCACAAAAAGGACGCTTACTTCCGCCATTTTCTATGATGAATTGCTACTTTGGCTCAACACACATACACATAAACCGTAGCTCTCCGAAGAGAAGATGCGCAGACAGGAGAAAAGTAGAAGCGAGATGAGCTGAGTACATATCCAGGAGAAGAAAAAAAAAGCAGGAAAGACAGCGACAGGACCTCGCATAGATACACATTTATCCAGCTGTCAGCGGGACGAAAAAAGGAGTGCAGTAGCTCCGCCGCTGGGTTTTCCCTATTTCCCCCCCTTTAACCTCCAACCCACGACTTTTCCATGGACAGGTGAGACCGAAACACTCACCGAAAGGGACACGGCAAGTGCACTTTCAGGGACTCCGGGACTATGGGACACAGGACTCCCACACACACACACACACATCGGGGTGCTTTTGCGCTTATTTATGTCTGGCAATCATAAAGCGCCGAAAAGAGAGCGATATAGGGGGAGAGAAAGAGTGAGCAGGCGACTGCAGGTTATGGCCTTCTATAACTCAGAACTCAGAGCTCGCAGGACTCGCAGGACTCTTGCCGCCTCTTTCTGGCCCACGTCCGCGTCCACTTTCGTTGGCTGCTGCTAGTGCTCCTGGTGCTGCTCCTGCTGCTGATGTATTCCATACAAATTGCAGGTTTTAGTGTTTTTATTTTCGCCCTCCAAAAACGGGGGTGAAATGCCCATTCGGTTGCTGCCTGGCTGAGTGGGTGGGTGGTGGGGGATGGCTGGCCAAGTGGGCGAGTGGGCAGGCGCATCATCCATCAATGGCATTTGCGGCAAGGACAGCGGCGAATGCTCTTGGTGAGTGCTCCTGACGTTTTTGTGTCGCAGACACAACAACACTAAAAGGGGGCGGGGGTGCTTCAAGGATCTGGATTTGGATCTGGCTAGCATCCCTTTTATTTATTTTTTTCTTGTGCGGCGCAGTCATGAGGCGAAATTTGTACTATTTTCGATGCCAAAAAGGAATTATAATAATAGCATAATAATGGTTTTTTTTATAAGGCAGCTTTAAATGTTTTTCAAAAGAAAAATTATGTCAGAAAGATGTACTATAATTTAATATGAGAAACATAAAGATGTTAGTTATAACTGACCTTATAAGCAAAGTTAAATAAAAATGTAAGTCTTAAGTTTCCTTTTCTGTTTATTTAAATAAAATAATTTATTAATAGAATGTGATGAATGAACCAGTAAACCTTTATAGTTTAATATTTTTGTAGGCAAAAGTCTTCAACATTTTGTTTTTAAGTAAAATACTCCTTTTTTCATAGTAAATAATTATAATTTTATAAAAATACTAACCAATGCCATGTACCAATCTCACACAATGTCCTTTGCCCAATTTCAAAACATAACTTTCTCCGCGTTTAAGAAGCTTGTCATTCCCCCTTTTCCTCTCCCCTTCTATTGCTCCCTTCCCCCTGTCTATGCTCGCTATTTGTAAAATAATAACATAAAATATGGCTGGCCTTGAACAATTTACTTTTATTTTATTTTTATGGCCCAGGCAGCAGCCCAGCCTCTGTGGCAGCTCTCGGCTTCAACATGTGTCCTTCCTTCTCTTCCTGTGTATGAGTGCTATGTGTGTGTGTATGTATGTGTGTATGTGTGCATTGTTGTTGCGCCTCGCTTTTAGCTTCATTAAATTTATGTTGCAGCACCCGGGCTTCCCCCGCATCCAGCGCTTTACACCGAATATCCTGGAAATATCCTGGGCCTAGTTGCACGTGCCGCGTGGCCGTAAAACAGATCGTAAAAGTTTATTACTTGCGGCTTTTGTTACTGTGTGTTGTGGTTCTCTCTCTCGCTCTCTCTCTCTGTGTGAGTGTGCGTTTTGTTGTGTTTGTGTTTGAACCGCCGTCGCTGTCAGCTGTCAAATTGAATTTGTTTATATTGCCAACACACACACAGAGCTCGCCGCTCCAACAGGTTTCATTTTCACTCCCAGGAAACCGGAAATCATTGCGTCATGCTGATATTTTGTATTTTAACGCCTAACCCCACCTCCCGCTCCTTGCCCACTTACCACTTGCTATTGGACACGCCCCCTTTTTTCCGGCGCTGTCATCCTCAGGCTTTTGTGTTGTTTAGGCGGCCGAAAGTCGATTTTTGTGTTGGTTTAGGTCAGTTTAGTTAGCTGCCTTTGACAGCTCAAAGTCGAGGTCAACTTTTGTATGCCCATCATCAGCTGTCTCTGTATGTGTGTGTGTGTGCCACTCTGTCTGTGTCTCTGTAAAGGATATTTATGGGGCCGCCGGTCGAGAGACGCGCGCGGCGTCCCCTCGATGCGACGCGTCCTTGTCAGTTGCCAAAAACATAAAAAATCGATTTTATTATAGCCGTCAGTCTGGGCCGTCGTCTATATAGATTTTCTGTCACTGTGTTTCCAGATATTGCTTCTGTCTGGCTGTTGTTCTCCTCTCTTTCTGTGTGTGAGTGTGACGAGCTTAAATTTGCTGGCTTAGTTTAGTTTAGTGAAAGGTTTTAAATTTCGCGGAGCGACAACAGTGCGTATACTCAATGGGAGTTATTAAAGGTGGGTTATAAACTGATAATACAACATATATATAATAAAATATTAGAAAGGTGGATAAAAATAATGCAAAAACAATAGTTTCAGTTGTAGTTTTATTCATTTTATTTAAACTTTAATGGTTTCTATGGAATTGTGATAAGAAATATCACTGATTTCCTTAATAACTGAGGTAATAACATAAGTAATTATAGTTTAAACCTTAAGTATCAAAGATTTGATATGATATACACCTACATTTCATCAGTTTTCTATTCATTACCAAGAATTAAAGCCCAAATGAGAGTACAAAAAAATAAGACCAAAACAAAAAGCGCAAAAAAACATAAACAAAATCTAATCAAATATTCACCCGCTGAGTGCGAGAGACAGAGTAAGAGAGCGAGTAAAAGCTTTGGCAAAGCTCTCTAAACCCAAATTAATAGAAAACAAAAAAGTTTGCTAATCAAAAGTTGTAGGAATAATATATGTCAGTCTGCAATATGTTGTCGAGGCAGTGGAACGCAAATAAGCAGATCGCCAGGCAGGTCTACCAGCTCCAAAGGGGGCTGGCCAATAAGGTGAATATTCCACAAAATATATCAAATTTAATATAAGACTTAGTTTATTTTATAGACCTCTCCTGTGAACTTGGAGGAGGCCAAGCCCTATGCTGATATTCCGGGTCCCAGCAAATTGCAATTAATAAGAGCTTTTCTGCCAGGCGGTAAGAAGCTTTCCAGTTTCTGCGCTCTTAAGCAAAACTCTTTGGAGAATTTCTGATCTCTTAATTATTATGCTCTTATTCCCTATTAGGTCGCTATAAAGACCGACCAGTTCACGAAATGTTTCTTGATATGAACCGGCAATATGGGAGTATCTTTAGGATGCCCAGCATAGCTGGCACTGATCTAGTGCTGACCATGAATCCCCAGGATTATGAGATCATCTTCCGTAATGAGGGCCAGTATCCTTACAGGAGAAGCTTTGAGGTAATGGATTACTTCAAGAAGGTGCACAGGCGTGAGGTTTTCGATGGCTATGATGGTCTGACCTCGGGGTGAGTTGTATAATTTATGCTACTTTTAATTATATTAAATTAATTTACTATTTTAGCAACGGCCCATCCTGGGGAAAGATGCGTACCGCAGTCAATCCCATACTTCTGCAGCCCCGCAATGCCAAACTCTATATTAAAAACTTGCTGCAGGTCAGCGATGATTTTGTAGAGCGGTAAGTTATATAAACTATGATTTTTGGGAGTAACCTTAAGCTCAATATATCTCTTACAGCATTCGTTCTATTCGTGATCCTGTGAGTCAGGAAATGCCAGATGATTTTGCAATGGACATTCGCCATTTGGTGATAGAATCCATTGGCTCCGTGGCCCTAAACACACACCTTGGCCTTCTGAGGGAAAACCGGGAAAACAAGGAAGTTAAGCAGCTTATTTTAGCTCTTCAAGATGTGGTAGAGCTGGGTTTCCAGTTGGATATGATGCCACCTTTCTGGAAGTATCTGCCAATGCCAAACTTCAAGAAACTTATGCGTTCCCTGGACTTGATAACCGACTTTTGCATTTTCCACATCGAAGAGGCTTTGAAAAGGATTGAAGCTGATGCCAAGGCGGGAAAACTCACCGAGCTGGGTCTCGAGACCAGTTTACTGGAGAAGTTAGCTCGTTTCGATCGTCAAACTGCTGTGATTATAGCCATGGATTTGTTGTTTGCCGGTGCAGATCCGGTGAGTTAAGATATCGAAATTAAAACTTACAATAATATATGGTAATTTCCAGACATTGGTATCCCTCAGCGGCACTCTGTTGAGCTTGGCCAAGAACCCCGACAAGCAGGCTCGTCTTCTGGAGGAGATCAGGGGCATACTCCCCGAGAAAGACTCGCCACTGACCATGGAGAACATGAATAATCTACCCTACTTGAGGGCCTGCATCAAGGAGGGCATCCGTATGTATCCCATTGGCCCGGGAACACTTCGTCGAATGCCCCATGATGTGGTGCTTAGTGGCTACAGAGTTGTGGCTGGAACGGATGTGGGCATGGCTTCCAATTACCAGATGGCCAACATGGAGGAGTTTGTGCCCAATGTTCGCAAATTCCTACCCGAGCGTTGGTTACGTGATGAGTCCAACTCCCACCTGGTCGGCGACACGGCCACGCCCTTTATGTACCTGCCCTTTGGTTTCGGTCCAAGAGCCTGTGCCGGCAAGCGGATCGTGGACATGATGATGGAAATAGCCATAGCCCGGCTGGTGAGGAATTTCGAAATCGGTTTCGAATATCCCATTGAAGATGCCTTCAAGGCAAGGTTCTTTGTTCAGCCAAATATACCCTTTAAGTTTAAGTTTGTGGACCGCTGCGATTAGGCTTCTTAAACTTTAAAAGGAAAATATGTTACTCAGGAAGAAGACTAGGGAAGAAAAATTGTATAACCTTTGAAATTTATAAAAGTGTATTACTAAAATAAAACCATTATATCTGAACACAAAAGTATTTCTAAAATTTCAATAAGAGAAGCTTAATTCTTTGCTTACCATCATGTTTTTTTTCTGTAAGTGAACTCCTCTTAACTGTGGGGCTAAAGACTTTCGAGTGCTTCTGGTCACATACATATGTCCTGGCTGCCGGAGTGTCCACTTGAGTTCAGTACAGCCACCAACATCCACTTGAGGGTACATTTCTTTATGGCTTTCCCCCAAATAACGGTGGCATTTTCCGGCATCTGAAGAGGATGCTTGACAGGGTGGACGATACAGGACAAATACTGGCAGATGTTTATATGGAGACTTGAGAAGTTAAGAAAGCCTTTGAGTTTTAAGGTATTTCAATAGGGATTTGTATTAAAACTATAAATTGTGTTTAAAAATGTGTTTTCTTTAAACGAATTTAGCAAGCGATCTCTATCAATGAACGATATGCCTTAAAGTATGCATTATTTGTTTAAGATTTTCTAAAGATCAATCAAGAGCGCCATCTATATTTGACATTGCTTTATTTAGAGCTTAAGGAAATAAATAAATTCTAAATTTAAAATAAAAATTCCTAGAAAATACCTATTTTATTTAAAATGCCTAAAATTTATTGAAAGATACTTATTCTATCTGATTTTATTTGTTCTTTAAGTTTTAACTGCAGACAGCACTCACTCAGGGAGGACACTTCCTTTGTCCCTAACCCATTTTCCCCAGCATTCCTTCGTCCTTCGTTATCGCTTGTAGTTGGACAAACAAATGCGCCGACATAAATAATGCAAAAGTATTCATTTTGACATCGAATAGACAAAGTTGCATTGAATTTTCATGTTTGTTCTTCTTCCGCTGGCCCCAGGTCCTGGTTCCTGGTTCTTTTTTATTTCTTTCACTTACTTGTGCCGGTCTTATCGGCTACCCTAGTTCCCCCGACCCTCCCCGAGAGTGAGCTCCTGCTCGTATGTCCTGGATTTTATGCTGCAGACCGGACTCACTCGTTGGCCGTCGTCTTGTGCATTATTAAAACTATTCTGATGGCGCTTCCGAGGATGGGGTCCACTTGAAATGTCAATGCTGGGCCCCGCAGATCCTGGCTCCTTTGCTGCTTGCTGCCCTCCCCTTCCTTCTCCTCTTTCTTTGCTCATTGCTCCTGTTTCGAGTGCATAAAGTTTTATCGGGGGAAAAAACTTTACCCCGCTGCTCCTGCTGTGTCACGTTTCCTTGGCAAGGACTCGGAACTTTTGCCCCGGGACGAAATGCATTTGCAATTGCATAAATGAACAGTCGAGAGGAGGAGCAGGAGCAGGAGCAGGAGCAAGAGGAGCTACACAGACGAAACGAATGGAATTCATTATTGGCCAGGAGTTGTCCTGCCGAAGGTGGGGGGCGTGGCCGAGGTGCTGGCCTTTAAATTGAAAATGCATGTCAAGTATCGGCTGCACACACAAATCACAGTTTCAGCGCGCATTTCGCAATTTTCGTTGCTCGGTTCGAAGGAGGGGTCTGGCCAGGGGGCGGGTATTTGCACTTTATGACATGGCACCACCCCCTGCCAGTCACCTACTGCCCCTCCCCCATACCCCTGACCCAGGCATAAAGTGAGCAATTAGACAATGTCCCAGCCTGCCCCGACTCCTGTAGGCCTTTCCTGCATCCTGCATCTTGGCAATTGGAATTTTGGCTTTTCGCATTGAACTTTGACTTGCCATCAACATTGGAGGGAGGCTGGTCATGTGCACTTTGAGAAATATATGGACATTTTATAGGAAAATATTACATTTAAATAAAAATAAATATTTTAAAAATAATTATCCCTTATTTTCTTAGCCATCTTGGAAGGATTCTTTTGAAATATTATAAGTTATATGGTTTAGAAAGTCTTTAAAATATTTCACCCCAAAATGAAGCTTTAATATCACATTATTTATATTTTTAGCAGTGCCTAAATATGGTCCTGGGGTAGCTCCTGTCCTCCTCCGCTGCCGCCTCCTTGTGGCACATCTTGTCACATGACATGATGGCCGTCCATTGCCGAGCTGCCAATTTGCAACAGCACGGGCGTGGCAAACGGACCACGTCTAATGATGGCATACATAACCTGGCTACCCCGAACGCCTCCGCTTCCATTTCCTCCTCCTCCTCCTCCTCGGCTGCCGCCTCTGACTTGGCACACGCCCACGTCAGGTCCTGGGTGCTTGGTCCTGGACCTACGCCTGGTCCTGCTCCTGGTCCTTGGCAAGTGTCATGTCACACGACGCACTCGGCTCGGCTGGCTTGTCAATTTCGCAGCTGGGCGTGGCCGGAATCCTGCCTTGAGCCCCAGTGGCAGGCATTAGCATGTTCCAGCAGGCAGAGTTTAAAAAAAAAGTATCAACATTGCAGGACAATCCCCCGTCCAAAGGCAGTCGTCCTTCCTTGCCACCCCCTCCGAGGATGGCGACCCGCCCTGACAGGCGTCCATGATTAATGGTTGTCAATGGCATTCCGCTCGGATCGGATCGACTGGGCTTGGGCTTGGGCTGGGGCTTCGTTTTTGGGCTTGGGCTACGGCTTGACTTGGCCTGCATGCGGAAAGTAATTTTGTTATTTTAAGAAAAGCCCTCGCAGGCTCTAAGGATTCTGGTTTGCAGGAAATTGATTCACCCCCCTCACGGTTTCGTTTATTTTTTCTTCCAGACCGCTGCCGCAGGAATTCCCCAACAAGTCGCAATTTCGCAACCTTTTGCGCCCCGCGATGTACGAAAAAATACAGGATGCAGGATACCGGGGCACAGGATACGGGGGCTAGATGGTGTTAATGGCATTGGAAATTCGCGTGGGGGGTGCGGGTAGAAAAAATTTAATTTATTATTTCGAAAAGCAAAGCATTTCTAATCGAATTGTATTCCAAATATGCGTTGCATGGGAAATTGAAAAATTGCGTCCCAATTGGGTGGATTTCCTTTCCTCCTTGGCGGTGGATCAGGGGGAAAATTTGAATTGTTTGGCTGTGGGGGTGTGGGGTGTGGGGTGTGGTGGTGTGGGGTGTGGGGGTTGCATAATGCTTATCAGATTGTTTGGCATTAATGATGTCTGCGGGGGGAGGGAGTCGGGATACGAACATTGATGAACAGGCACTTAAGGAAAATGAATTAAGTGATACCACAAAGAAATACTGAATAGTATCAGTTACTCATTATCATATTTGTTAATGTATTAAGTTATTTGGTAGATGAGATATTAAAGAGTTTATTGATTACATTTGTATCGCTAGAAAAAAAAGATAAGTAGAAGTAACAAAAATGTTCCTATTTAAAACTTCATTGAGATCTGTAAATATTTTTATTAGATTTAAAATACAGCTAGCTAACATTTATCTAAACCCTTTTAAAATGCAGTTAATATCAGATAATGGCACTAATTTATTCTTCTTATTTGCTATTAAACTCCTTTTTTTAAAGGTAAAATATATTGTTTTATAAATGGTTTCAGGGCATTTTATTTAGATTTTTATATACACTATTAATCTATGAGTTACGGTTACCTTATGATTTATATTTATTAGATTACAATTACTATTAAAATTTTCTATAACTAAAATTATTTGTGATAATTACAGTCAATATAATTTTATCTCGTGGAGGCAAAAAGGCTCAAGGCAACTTTATTACAAGAGAAAAATTGAGTACAAAATTCAAGAATTTTATCAAATTTTTGTTTTCATTTATGAGCTTTTTTTTTAATTTTGTTTTTCTGTTATGGGTTAAGTGTCAACTCTTTAAGCTGCTCTCCTTAAAGCACCCGCAGATCGCGGATGCTGCTGATACTTCTGCTTCTGTCTCTCACGCTCCTGCTCTTGTGTATATATTTTTATTAATTTTCCAAATGAATTCCTGACAACGACAAAAAGACACAGCGACAACGATGACAACAGCAGCGCCAGAAGAGAGCAAGTTATCCTGGCCGCCAAAGGATATCAAAAACAAAAAACTCAAAAAATGGGGGCAGCCATTGTCGGCCACTGGCAGCCCGCTGCTGTTTCCCCTTTTTTTTCTGCGATTTTATATATATTTTTTCTTTTTTTGGTAACTGTTGGCGACATTATTACGTTACTTACTTTACGCCATAAATGTTGTTACGTCATGGCAACCACCCTCGCTCCCACATGTGCGCTGCTAAAAAAAGGACAAAACAATGATACACGAAGGAGGGCAGGATGCGATGGCTGCCATCATTGTTATGTGAATGTGACGACTTTTTGACTTCCGCCACGCTGATGTGTTTCCGTTTCCTGTTTTATGCACAACTTTCGTCCGTCTTTCTGCTCGGCATCCTTTGTGCTTTGTGTTTCTTGATTTTTAAAAATGCTTGCCGCTGATGAAATGTAGCCAAGGAAGGATAACTGCCTGATTTCACGCCGCGTTGATTCGAGCCCCCCGTCTTTATGTCTCTGCGTCTGTGTTCCCCAGAATCTACATCTCCCCAGCCGAGGCCGGGGGGATGTGTATGTGCATCCTCAATTTCCCTTTTATGTTATTTTAATTTTATGTTATTGTTATGACACAATGAAAATAAAATTGAATTGACACTGATGTCCTTGCTTCCTTTTCAGGGTCTGGAGCTTGGGGTCTCACTGATAAGTATATATAAACAGAGAGAGAAATGGGAGGGCATAAGTTCATGAAATTTATTTTTGAAAAATATTTAAAAAGAACACATTGAAGGGATATATTTTATATTATATTTAAAAAGCAAACTTTTTTAAATAGCACTTTCTAAAATATTTATTTAAATTACAAACATAAAGCGCTTCTTTTGGTATTTATAATGTGACAAATTTTTTTCTCAGTACCCCAAAGAGCTCCTCTGGAAAAAATGCGAGTGCGACAGTTGCCAGTGACATTTTTATTGCCCGGACACACGAAGTCCACGTCCAAGTGGCTGGCAGGCCGAGACACACAGGATCACAGGATATTCAAATGGGCCATAAGTGCGGTTAAAGCGCTTCGCTCGCTTGACTAAATCTCAATCCCAATCCCTGTA